TGCTTAAGCCCAAGAGTTGAGATTGCCGTGAGCTGTGACGCCACAGCACTCTACCAGGGGCCGAGTGTGGTGGCTCATGCCTGAAATCCTAGCACATTGGGAGGCCAAGGCCAGAAGTTTGAGGTTGCAGTGAACTATGATTGTACCACAACACTCGAGTCTGGGTCAGACCCTGTCTCAAAAGATTGCAGTTTTTGGCCAGGGCTGGGTTTGAACCCTCCAATTCTGGCATATGGGGCTGGTGCCCTACTCCTTTGAGCCACAGGCGCCACCCAGAACTTTTTTTTTTAATTTTTTGAGGTAGAGTTTTACTTTGTCACCTTCAGTAGAATACCGTGGCATCATAGCTCACAACAACCTCAAATGCTTGGGCTGAGCCTCCGAGTTCCAGTGATCCTCTTGCCTCAGCCTTCCAAGTAGCTGGGACTATAGGTACCCACCACACCTGGCTATTTTTAGAGACAAGATCTCGCTCTGACTCAGGCTGGTCTTGAACCGTGAGTTCAGGCAATCCACTGGCCTTGGCCAATCAGAGTGCTAGGATTACAGGTGTGAGCCACAGCGCCTGGCCTAAAAAAGAACTTCTGCATGTTTACCCAGGACTCCCAGGCTTGGCAACACCTGGGAGCTTGTTAGAAACCAGGATCTTGTACCGTTTCTGGATGTATTTAGCGAGAGCTTTATGTCAACATCTTAGGTCATAATCATGTTTGAAAAGCATGTTCTACATTAGAAAGGAAAGATACTCAAACTCAAATAAGTTACCCCAAAGGGCAACTGTGGTGGTATCTGGATGTCAGACTACAGGTGACTTTCCCTCTGTCACTTGAGTGTAGTTTGTATAATTTTTTTTTCTTTCAGTTTTTGGCCAGGACTGGGTTTGAACCCACCACCTCCTGCATATGGGGCTGGTGTCTTACTCCTTTGAGCCACAGGCGCCGCCCTTATTTTGAATACTTCTTAAAAGGTACTCACTTCTTCTGTTAAGATGAAAAAATAAAAAGATACCATCTCTGGTCTGGCAAGGTGGCTTATGCCTGTGATTCTAGCACTCTGGGAGGCTGAGATCCCTGTCTCTACTAAAATAGAAACAACTGGGGCAAGAGGATAACTTGAGCCCAAGAATTAGAGGTTGCTGTGAGCTATGGCATCACGGCACTCTACCCAAGGGCAACAGCTTGAGACTGTCTCAAAAAAAAAAAAAAAAAAATAGATACACCTCCAGAGTCTGAGGACTTGGAGGGTGAGGAGGTGGTGTACTAAATCCCCAAGACCCCAAGGGACATTTACTTCCCTCTCCCTTGTGGGATGCTGAAGTGCTAGGGTCATTTGTTAAAAATATGAAGTGGTTCAAGGGGAGGAACTGGCCTGAGGCGGGAGAATGACCTGAGGATGAGTGCTAGGATGAGACAGTGTCAGGAGAGCTTGGGGAGAAGGGCCTAATGCCCTGAATATGATTTAATGGTGTTTTCCAACAAGTTCATCCAATGTTTGGAAAAGGACTTGAGGTGCTGAAGGAAGCCATGCTGGGGGGTCCTAAAGATCTCTCAGCAGAACGTCTCCCTCAGAGTATCTTCAGAAAGAATGGGTGTGGGAGAGGTCAGGAACCAAGTGGGTGGAGGGGGCCAGGGAGTAACTGGTTGGTGCTTCCTGGGTCCAGCAGTGACCAGATTTGGCCCACAGGCCCACGTCAGTCTGGGGTTTGGTAAAATAAGGAAGCCAAGACCAGGTGATATGGGCCCAGCAGCCTTGAGGCCTTTCTTTGTGACCAGAATAGCAGCTGGACAGTGGACAGAGGGAGAGAAGACCCCACAAGAGGAGTCCTCTCACTTCCCAGGCTCCCCAACAGGACATCAGTGCCCACCCCCACAACAGGCTCCCCAGAATATAGTTGGGGACAGTTCTCAGCACTTCCACCAACCTCATAAGACCTATGCTGGCGAGAACCGGGTCATCTTTGCTTTTGCACAAGTTCCCAGGGTCCCTGGCACATGACTGGTCCTTAGCGGTGTCTGCTGAAAAGTTACATTGGCCGAGACTGAAACTGTGTGTTGGGTAGGGCCAGGAGGCCTGAGACAGCCCTATGGGAGGCCCTAGAAACTCCAGCCTAAAGATTATATCCTGCAGGCCCCAGTGGGAGGGACAGAAAGGGAAGGGAAATCTGGGAGGATCCAAATGGCCAAACGCCCCCTTGACTCAGCAATCGGTGGAAGGGTTTTTTTAAAAAATAGCGACTCACCTCTCCTGCTAAGCCCCTGTAAACACCTGGTCACCAAGTCCCAAACATGGCCCACTCTAGTACCATCTGCAGTAGGCATCAGAGGATCCATTTCCTCTGCTTCTGGTGAGGGAGCTTGATCTTTCCTTAATCATGCCCCCTCCCCAAACAGCTCAAGGGGCAGCCAGCTTGTTCTCACCCCCACCCATTTTCTGCCACGGGAGACTGGTTAAAGGACAGGCACCTCCATCTGAGCTGGTCAAGTGAGTTAAGCCTGGACTTCTAAACTCTAAGATGAAAGAAACCTCTTCTTTTCAGTTACTTGTTACCCAGAGGAAGGAGGAGGGAGAGGTGAAAGCTCATGAAAACCAGAAATCTGGATTTTTGCATGAAATCTTCTGAGTTCTAAATATTAGCACCGGGTTCCCTTATTTCTTTAAAATACTTTGTGGGCCAGACCACATGTGTCTGTGAGCCAGATCTGGCCCATAAACCAGTGACCTTGGCTCTATGTTGCCCTTAGCATGGCTATCTAGAGATTCCTCCCAATTTGGTCACAGTTGATTTTCCCAGCTGTCTGTCCTTCCACTCCTGGCTTGACCTTTCACTCTGGCCACCCAGCCACAATGGACCCATCCCCCTTTTCAGCTGCACAGGTCTCCACAGTCCAGAAGGTGCCCCACATCCCAGATACCTCCAGGCCCACTGGTCTGTGGGCCACCCAGGCCCATCTGACCTCAGGCTATGGCTCTTCCAAAGACTTGCATGCCCCACTCCCCATTCCTGCAGGTCTTTGTTCAAATGTCAGCTTCTCCAAAGAGACCCTCCCTTACAAAAAAAACTTTCCGTATCCACCATGCTCAGTACTCAAATCCCCTCTATTTTTCTCCAGAGCACTTTTTCTTTTTGCAGTTTTTTGGCCAGGGCTGGGTTTGAACCTGCCATCTCCAGCATATGGGACCGGCGCCCTACCCCTTTGAGCCACAGGTGCCGCCCTCTTCAGAGCACTTTTTATCTAAAACGGGTTAGTAGACAATGGCCCACAGACTACTAAACAGGCCTGCTGCCTGTTTTTGTAAATAAAGCTTTATGGAAATAGCTTCGCTCATTCAGTTGCATACTGTTATGACTACTTCTACCACAAGGACAGCAGAAGGGTGGTAGCAGAGACCACTGTTCCACAATGCCTCAAATATTTACCAACTGGCCCTCTAGAGAAAGCTTGCTGACCCCTGCTTTAATTTTTTTTT